TGTGAAAATTATCCCAAAATAGTGCATATTCAGAAACTCTCAATATCAGTTTTCCCAGGAATGGCTTCAAATTTTTCAACGAAAATTTGCTGTAAGACTACGTTTTTCAGATGCGTAGGCTATGGATGCGAGGTTATAGTCGCGACCCCTAGTATTATCGCGCCCTATTAACACTTTTTTTACTCACCAAGTATCTTCTGTTCCATTTGTAACATTGTGTTGTTTTTTCCCATGAGGCTCCTGGTAGGTGTCGTATGACCGTAGATTCGACAGGTCAAAAAAACGATCCCTCCAACGGTTCACGTCGTTACCCAAAGATCATTAGCTCTCACGTTGCCGTGAGTGGAAGATGGCGAGCTTTCGGCTGACGCCAGTTGTGGCGCATCCGACTTCTCCATTGGCGCTCTGTATCCCCCTCCTTAAAGCCTTCGCCTCGCACCTTTGAGCACCTCTCTTCTTTCAGTAGAAGCTGGAACCCCAGTGAGTCACCGGCTAACGACTGAGGACTCCATAACGAGTTGAGGAGGAGGCATCTGGACCACAATACACATGTTCGCCAACTGTGGCGATCTAGTACGTTGGATTGGAGAGGTAGGTATCATACAGGGCCCGGCAAAGCTGCTCTATCAAAAACTGGGGACAAGCTCGAGTTGCTACTATAGGAAGCGCTTAGTGGCGCCAGTGCAAGCTGCAGGTTAGGGGCTCGCCAACTTTCCCACATAGCAAATGGCTAATTTGTGAAGAAATACGAAAAGTGGTCTTAGTAAAATGTACTAGTTATGTCAATAATCTATACTTTAAGAAACTCTGAAATAAATGCGCGAATTAGACGTTATCTTTTGTAACATTATGCGGCGGTAACCCGCGAACTCAACAGTAGCGCGTACGGTTTAAAAGTGTCATTCGCGTAGAGTTCGTGTTTTAGTTCGTGTAAAGAAGGCGATTGCAGCAGAGCGCGCCACCGTAATGGTCTCCACACGTAATTATGGAATTATAGGCCGCCTGGTCAATACCTCCACCTGGAGGGAAGTGCACATGACCTTGGACGTTGGTGTGAGCGTTGAGTATCCCAGTGGCCGGAGAGCTATGCCGGCGTAGCGAGCTACTGTAGGCCTCGCCGTTGCGACAGGTCAAATGGGTAGGGATGAGACGAAGAAAGTACTCCAGAAAGAGGAAACAGTGCATGCCCCCCCCGCCCCCCCAGGAACGGGGAGGACGCCAGCTTGGAAGGCCAACGGCAGAAGAGGCGGAATAGCCGGTTCCGTCAAGGCTTTCTATATCTTCCAGGGGCAGATGCGGCCCAGTACCTGCGATGTACAGACGAATGCGGGGAAAGGCAACGCATCTAGATAGTTGTTCCAAATAATGCACTCTGCCAGCTTGGGGGAGTTGAAGATGGCACCCCATCACCAGGCTAAGTCCCGCGCAGGGCTTCGTACACGGCCGGGGAGAAAAACCTAACTGAGTAACATCAAGGAGAACGAGCCGACCAATCATATTGACGACCCATGAAAGAACAGGGAATAGAAAAGGAATTTGGAGAACTTGAACCTAGCTACTTGAACGTAAGAGCGTTTGACGCAAAAAGAAGAAATATTACAAAAAGAATTAGAAAACATTAACGGAGGGTATATGTTCTCATCACCGAAACAAGAAAAATGTAAAGAGGCACGATTGCGAATACTAAACTACCATTCTTTTATTATAGCGCGAGTCCCTCAAAATTAAAGAGCATCATTTCAGGTGTAGGAATAATGACTAAATCTTTCCTAGAAAGAATAGAATTACAGAGCTATAACTTTGTAATGCGAGCCGGAGATAATAAGAACGTGCCGACTAAAAACAGCTAGAGGATATATTACAATTATTTGCATGTATGCACCTGAAGAGGGACGTAAAGAAGAATATATTAACTTCTATGAATCCCTTCAGTCTCACTTAAACACTATAAACAAGACAGATTATGTAGCGATTGGAGGTGATTTTAATGCACGTGTTGGACAACAAATCATGGGAAATCTAATTGGAAACAATGGAGAACAAACTCTAAATGAGAACGGCATAGCCTTGAGAAACTTTGTTAGCTTTAACGAGCTTAAAATAACTAATACCCTCTTCCGACATAAAGATATACACAAATACACATGGTCAGCAAGAGGTACGAGATCAATAATCGACTATATCCTATCCAACAAGAAACTCTCCCCAAACGTGAATGATACAAGGGTATATAGGAGCTGCGACGTTAGTATGGATCACTTCTTAGTTCTTTGTAAACTTAAAATCCCTAGGAAATGGATCCACAGGAAAAAGACGAAGGCTGCGCAAAATAAAACTAACTTTAAAGTATACCTGCAGAAACAAGAGAGTATAAGAAGATTATACTGCTAACGATTGCTTTCCTCTATTGATCAAAGAGCAATCGGTACAGATGTAAATGTAGAATGGCAAGATTTTATAAGATAATATTACAAGCAGCAGAAGTCCTAGGCAAAAGAACAAAAGCAAGGAATAAGAAGGGTGTCCAA